CCAGCAACAAGCAGCTAGGAAATAAGTGGTACACACAGAAGCAACCAGCTTCACACAACCACACACCTGTCCTCAACAAACCTGCGCGCGAGAAGAACAAAGGGATGGATTGCCGGGTGCCACGTGACTATATAGAGTCACGTGGGTCCCCGGCAGGTCACAGGTGACGTTGTTGTCATTAGTTCTCGACCTGCGCATGCGCAAGAATGATCATTCAGTGCTTGAAGCACCGCCTCTGGCGGTCAGTAGGGATGAAATAGAACAGATTCATCAGTAATACAGAACTCTATCAAATTACCCAACATGAGACTCAACTCAACTGCACAGACTTGTCTAAACAAAATTTTCCACAGGACACACAAAGCTTCCATGAAGCACTTTTTTGAGTTGGACATGCAGAAATAAATCTGCACTGAGGGCAGAAGGTCTCAAAGACAAGCTAATAAACCACATTTTAAATTAAAACCACCAAACGCAAAGTAATCTATACGCATTTGTTTAGGTTTGCCAATAGCAACAAAGAAGGCAAGATCTGAATATAACTGTAATTTCTGCAGTAAGACCATATCCATATTTTGTCTAAACAGCAGTCCTCCCGGGCTCTAACTCTAGTATAATGACCAAACTCCTTTAATTACTCTTAATCAATTTTAAATTGATAAAATCATAAGTGATTACATGCAGAAATTGTTGAAGTTTTAACAATCATACCCATTTTTCCATCCTCAACAAAGAATACATTGAGAGGGATGAGTACGCTAAAGTAGAACACGTCAATGTTGTTCTTCACAGCCACCTATACGCAAGGGGAAAAAAAAAGAAAGGTTTTACATTATATATAATTATCATAAACAGTGTTCCAACATTAACAACACGAAAGGTAAAAAAAAGAATATATATATATACATTTGCTGAAAGTCATAGTTGTACAACCCAGTGGTTCTTCCCCTTTCAAGAATGAATAATTTTCAGGGTCAAAAGTTAAATTTATGACTATTATTATTTTTTAAACATAAAATATGCAGTAAAATGTTTTAAAAGAAAAATAATAAAGTTGTTTGTCTGCAAAGACAAATCATGAAAGATGAATCAGACAGTTGGTGCAAAGTAACTTAATAGTATCCCAATATTTCTCACAATGAGCCTTTTATCCTCGGCATACCTTTTCCAAACAAGAACAGGTGTTACTATTTTTTTAAAAACTATCTCCTACTGCAGTATTCTTACAGTTTTCTGATGCACAGTCATATGTGGGGTGTGTTTTTAATTTGTTGGTTTCATACAGTCAGTTGCCAGAGTTATGACACAGACAGGTCTCTCGTCATTAGCAGTGACACCTAGAGCAGGGTAAACCCCCTGCCATGGTGTCACACCTGCCCTACGGGGTGCAACCAACTATTTGAGAACATCTGGTATAACCTGACTTTCTTTTAGTTAACATAACAAGCTAAGGGTTATTGTCAGGAACCTTTTTAAATAAAAATAATTTAGTCATTGTTTCAGTGTCCCCATAGGCTAAAACATAAAAGGTTTTAGCTGACAAGATTTTTGTTCAACAGCTCAACAATTACTTTAAACAAGTTGCAATTATGTATCCAAATACAAAGCCATGGGATCTTGTTCCATGCTTTGAAAAAGAAAATATTTCCTTGTTACAGAACAGATGCCCTATTCTCAAGGCTGGAACCTAGTCGAACAGCTGTCTCTTACCAAATACTCAAAACTAATGCTTAATATATTTAGAATACTGCCCTCTTGGTTAAATGAGGCATTCAATTTACATTTATTAAAGACTTCAACAGCTGTTAGCCATAGAAGCTCATTATAAATGGTTTGCATGAGTGGCGTATGAGCGTGTACCTGCAGGTTATTGAGTGGGTCCATCTTCATTACTGGCCCGATGGTGTTTAATGGCAAGGAGATCTCAATGGTCTGATTAGGCATAAGTGGAGTGTGAATAGGCAGAGGACTGGTGGGGATCACCCCAAAACTGCATGAAGAAAATAAAGAACATTACTTTATTTATGAGTCATTAAGGAGCAAAGTTCTGACATAATATCTGTCTAAAGTTAAAAGTGAATCGGTGGAAGACTAGAGGTCAACTCACTGACCTGTTCTTGTTGAACTGAATAGCAAAATCCGTCATGTGTTGCAGGGCTTTGTTGGTAAAGGTCATGTCCATGTACATGTGGCCTTGGCGGCGGGAGAATGTTCCAGAGATCTCCAGTCCCTTCGCTTTAACTGCCGGAAGCCACACCTAGTAAGAAACACCCATATAATTGACTCTATACATATAATTTAATAAATCCCATGGACATTTCCAAAGAGCATCTTTTATCTTTTCCTGACAAGTAATGATTGTTTTTTTGCCTGGTTATAATTTTGAAATCATACATTTTATGCATTTTCCTCTCTTAGGAAAAAAAGTATTTTAAATTCAATTAAACAAAATTTGATTTAAGTGAAGGAAATTGAGGATTAACTGATTCAGAAGTGATGCATTGTTTGTATGAGCTGTTTATAAATGGTCAAATCTGCTGTTGTTGCGAACTGCTCTGAATAGCTGCTATGAATCCTCCCCGATCCTGTAAACTGAGAGTATGTTGACTGTTGTTTAAGAACATAAGAGGACACCGACTGCTTACAAGTAACATAGATGTTGAATATATAAACCCTCCACATCTTGTGCACTCACTGCTTTTGGAGCTGCATGGCCTCCAGTGGTGATGGCCATGCCTGTGGAAAGCTCAAACAGGTCGTTGAGGCCGCTGCTGACAGCTGTAGGTGCAGGTGTGGGCGAGGGGGCAAAAGTACTTGGAACAGAGGAGGGGATGAAATTTTGTCCCACCTGAAACAATCACACACAGACACAAAATTTAAAGACATTCCCGTTTGCTTTTCCGAAACTTACAACAAACCACAATCTTTGATTAAGAAGAAATAGTCAATATAAAAAACCTAAAACCTATTTCAAACATACAGTATCAAGATATTGATAAGCAACACAAAATGTAAATTTAAATAAAATAACAAAAAAACAGCAAAATAATCAAGAGGCTACATTCATTGGAAAAATATTTGAGTAAGTTGAAAATTCTGTTATTACTGATATTAAATGTAACCTCTATGAACACAAAGAACAATCATATAATATTGTGCTAACGGATCCCATCGAAATGTGCAAAACCTTTGTAAAGTTTATCTACCTAAAAATAATATAAAGCTCAAAGACATTGGTTTAAGAGTGTGTTGGGTTAATTCAGGAAGCATGCAGCATGCAGACTGGCAGACGGCTGAACAGAAGGGCTTGACTTACTGCAGGACTTCCCCCAACACCTCCGCCCAGGTCTCCCCCGAGCTATAGGAGAAAAGAAAGGCCCCCAAAGACAGCATCCAAACATCACAGTCAGACCAAACACACAAAGACAGAGACAGAGACTTTCTTAGCAACCGCAGCCCATCAATAGGAACCTTCACCTTGCGGAAATGTATTAACTCTGCATGGTAAGTTAGAAATGAAAAATTAATCTCCAATACATTTTTAAATTAATCCAAAAATCCCACCAGCCTGAAGGAGTAATAAAATTAAAATCAACAGATATAAACAAAAGGTTTATCATTAAGAACCCATATCTTTTTTGGTATTCAAAGTATTCCATCACATTTTTGGTGATGCGTGATTTTCAATTTGGAGTGAGCACACCAAAATGACTCCTTATATGACAATAATTCTGAGGAAGGCTGAGATAAGCATCGATAACAAAGATGCCAAAGCAATTATTATATGGCAGACAGAGCAAAGACTAAAGTATAAAGGTTAGTTCAGCTAAATTGTTAGCTGGGTTCATTGTCCTATGAGCATTGGAGTCCAGATTTTTAATCAACACAAGCCATTCAGCTGTTGCAAAGACAGGCAGCTTACTTCAGGTGATGTGGCCTCTCTGAAGTACAGACAGAGTATGTGTGTTTTTATGCAAGCTCACCAAACTATCCAGGCCCCCTCCGAGAAGGTCCACCGCACCCATCTGCATGGAGGAGACCTGGGGTACATTGACCGGAGGGCCCAGGTCCAGGTTCAGTAGGTCACCTAGTAGGTCACCCTGGCTAGGAATGACATGAGGTTGGTCGATGGCAGCTGCTGGCCCACCACTCACAGGGCTCTCTCCTGTGTCAATGCTGTCAGGGCAGAAAGGAAGAAACAGCTTAAAATGAATTCAGATCCAGATTCAGAAAATGCAATGAATTCATTTTATCTCCTTGTGTTACACCAATGTGATGGAAAAACCCAGAGTTGACTCATTGGGGTTATCATTATTAGAGGGTATGAATAAGTTAGGTGCCTACAAAAAAAATGTACACCAAGATAGCACTGTTGAGGTTGAATTGCAAGTGGCAGGGAGCTTAAAGTGAATAAAGGAGAAATGTAAAAGTAATATTTTTTTGTGTCAGACCTGCTGTGCTGAACAGGAAGGTGTTTTCGGTGGATTCCGTGGCTTCCCTCCACAAAGGCGCTGGGCGGTTTGTGATAGACAGAGGCCAAGGAGCCAATGTGACAGATAAGCTCGTCCAGTAGGGTCGGTTCAATCAGGTCCGTCTCCTCTGAGATCAAAGGCTTTTCAGACAGCACCACTTCTTTGGCTGTCACAGGGTCAGTTGACAAGAGTCGCCAATAAATGTAGCCCCTATCACGGAGGTCGGGGTTGTCAGAGTCCTGAAAAAGAGCAAAATAGTCAAAGGCATACAATTATATTGTTTCATGTTATGAATTGGGCTGGTGGCCGTTGCGCACTTTGTTAATTATGGTGGAACAAAGAAATTCCATACATTTGCTGGGGTCTTTAAGAACAAATGTCACTGTGGCTAAGTTCAAAAGTGAATAGGACACAAGTAAAAATAATGTAAAACAGTTTCTTCACAATGTAAGACAAAACTGACCTGAGTGGCCAGGCTGAGGACCTGCTGCACCAGCTCCTGCGTCTCTGATGGCTTCTTAAGGAACAGCTTGACGATAGCAGTCAACAGAGTGAGCTGAACCTGCAAGACAAGATATGCACTTCCATATTATGACAAGCATCACATTTAAAGTACAGAAATCCACAGCTATGGTTTTCACTGGCAGATGTCAGGGTTACAGATGTTCCGTATCATAGTGCTGCCTATGGTTACTATCTTCTTAACTAAGATTAATACCTCTGACATCGACAAACATGTACACTGCATGTTTTCAAAGTTTCCTTTTTTAAAATGCCATTCATTCTTTGGGCTATCCCGTGTTCCTGTACAAGCTCCGACTAACACATTAATCCACTAACTGCTAATTATCTTGTGGGCCACTTAAAATTTACTCACGGGCAGAATGTGACCTTCAAGACTTGAGTTTGACACATTTGCCATAGACAGTGTACACCTCTTTTATCAAACCCACCTGGGTGCTCTCATCGTGGAAACCCTCGAGGAAGCTCTCCAGCAGCTCGTCGGCGTTGTCAATCCTCTCTGCATACTCACCAACGATCCAGATCATGGCAGCTCGAGCATCAGGCTCATCCAAGGAGTCAAGATTCTCACACAGAGTGGCAATGATGCTCTCGTATCTGTGAAACACCAGTATCTCGTTCAATCAAAACAGGATAAACTACATTTATGTCAAGCATTTATTATTTCCAGATGTTTGCTGGGCTAGTCTATTCTGTGGCAAGGGAAACATACTTGTTAGGGTACTTGCGGAAAATGTCTCTGATGACCACAATAGCTTCCTGAACAACGTAGTTGACCTTGGTCTGGATCAGGTCCAATAAAGTGCTGACACAGCGCTCGGCTGATTGCTGGAAGGAACAGGAAGTGCACACTATCTTAACATTACATGGATGAGGTCCATAACTATTTACAGACCTTAACATTTCAGAAATTCTAAACATTTCTAAAGTGTGTATATTTCACCATAATAACATCTTTTACCTCCACTTTAATGGCACAACGTCCAATGGCCCGAACAGCTTTGCGGACAAAGTCGACATCTACCTCTGTGGCATATTCTTTTAATTCAGCCAAAACCTGAAAGATATGTTTTAACACATTAAATGAAATATTGGTTCGTCTGAACCCTGAAAACAATTTGGTGTTGCCGCACATCCACTCAAGTTTACAATAAAACTCTGTCTGTGTACATTATAATGACTAAAGAGAGCAAATATCCTCAAAAGAGAGATAATGCGCAGTTGTGTTCCACTGAGGGTTGTGTACCTGGGCTATGTTGGCCTGAGAAGCCAGGCGGATCATGATGTCCAGTTTCTCAAGCTTCACATAGATAGGATCGTTGTACTTGACAAAAAACACTTTTATCTCCTGCTTCAGAATCTCTGGCCTGCAGACAGTATATTATACACATTAATTTTTTAACCTGCTCTAAAGGAGGGTTATTTAACATGTATGCTAATTTCATTTGGTTAAATATGATACAGGATACCTAATTGTTTCAACATATGTTAAAACGCTATGATATGTAAATTAGTGACAGTGAAACAGCATGTGTTCTCATCACAAACCTCTTCTGAACAATTAGATTGATGTTCCTCAGAGCCACATACTGGACCTCTGGCTCCCCAGAGAGCAAAGTGACCAGAGGGGGTGATAACTTCTTTAGCAATGTGTTGTAATAGTCTGAGTCCTTGGGAAGCAGCTCCAAGAATTTCATGAGGACCTTGACAGCTGACAGGACCACCGCTGAGTTGGCATGAGATAGACGGGGAGTGACACGCTCGCAGATGCTTCGAGACAGAAGGATACAAATTATGACACTTCTGATTCAGGCATGAGCACCAGTATTCCATACAGAATATTGATACAATGAGCATTGCATTTAAATGTGATCTTAAACAGCTTTGAAACACTTTTAGTTTCATAACATTTCGTGATATGCGGCAAACAAAGTGCTAAATATTACCACCTTTGAGCCTCGCGTTCATCCTTGGGATTGTAGTTAGAGAGACAGTCCAGGATGAAGATCTGACCCCACTCAGTGCACTCATTCAGGGCTGTTAGAAGCTTGTTGATGTTCTGGGGATTTAGATCCAGCAGGTTGCTGTTGGGGTGGGACTCACTGATCTCTGACAGGGCCGCAACTGCATTGGCCACAACCTTAAAGACAGCAGTAAAAATATTGTATCATCTGAAGTAGGCTTGTTCCGATCCGATATTTTGATCAGATAGGCAGCCGATATTTGCAAAAAAATGCATATTGGCCGGCATTAGAAAACGCAGATCCAGACTCCCGCTCCATTTTTTATCCGTGTTTTACAGTGCACCAGTGAAAACAATTACTGATGCTGAGTTAAAAAGACCATTTTCTATTCAGGTCATTTGTGTGTTTTATCTTTTTAATACAGTTTACAATATTATTTGCACTTTTTACTGTTCACTGAAGCCATTTCCATTTGTTATTTATAATTCTCAGCGTCTCTTTACCAACCAATTTGTATTATTCAAACTCACCTAATTAAGCTGGTTAGTTATTATAAGAGTAAATCCCTTATCGACATGAGTCTGACAACTAAGTAAGTAGGCTTAATAACTTTAAACTTTAATACATGCTCTGATAGGCCGGTATTCGATCGGAAGTGCAAATATAATATCGGTATCGGATCAGAAGTGCAAAAAGCTGGATCAGGACATCCCTAATCTGAAGCAGTCCACTGGTTATCGTCAATAGTATCTTTGCAAATGGTGATATTTTCAAACAACTGACAGAATGCATATAAAAAATATGAATGCAGACACGAAGTATGAGGGTTTTTGCAATATCTGTCTTCCAGTCACAAAAAACAAAAATGAACTCACTCTTACTTACAATACATTTTATTGTGACGAATGCAAACTAAATGACAAATAAAGTGCAACTTGCCATTGGATTTGAGTCAGCAATGAGGTCTCTCAAAGAGTCCAGGAAGCCCTGGTCCTCCACCATCTGGGCATTGATGTCATGCAGCTTAGCCACGCAAACAGCAGCTGTCTTCCTCACATATGGGTCCTCATCTTTCAGGCACTTCCTCAGCGGCTCACACAGGTACTCTGTGATCTTGTCCACACGGATGCAGCCCATGGTGCGAACAGCAAGAGCCCGAATCAGAGGGTTGGGGTCTTCACAGTCCTATATTTCAGCATGAAAAGGGACTTTCAAGGATTAGAATGTGAATTATTCTTCCCTTTTTACATTAGAGCTGGTAAGTGTTCAGGGGAACACCTACAGTGAAATGGAATCCAACACTCTGTTTGCCAATATGAATATTATGTACCAAAACTGACTTTTTTCTGCATTTCCTATAGAATGCACGAGCTACTTAAAACTGCACAGGATTAAAATGAAAACAATAAAATTGGACTGCATTTAATAGGACTTGAATACTGTTAGCTGATGCAATATTTATAGAACAAAGGGAAATAAAGTTAAGTGTGAACCACCACCAGATCTCGTTTTAAGTCTTGCCTTGACAAAGCTGTTCACTGCCATGATGGCCATGTCTGGCTGACTCTTGGCGTAGTTCATTAGGTAGAGGTAGACTAACTTTTTCAGCTCCAGGTTGTCTGTCTGCATACAGTTGACAACATCTGGGAACAAGGAACTGATAGCAAAACACAGGAATTTAGTTAGAGTCAACACTTAGAAGGGCTCAGAGCAGCTGTCTCTAGAGGTTCTCTTTATCTTCTACTGTACCTGACATCCTTGCCAACAGTCATAGCGGCAATAACCTTCTTCACAGCCTCTTTTCTCTTTTCCTTCTTCTCATTGTTCAGCTCAGCCTTTAGTTCAAAGATTTCCCCTGGAAGATTAATCATACCAACAGTTGATGGAAGCCAAATTTGAACACAGTGCCATACTGAATGAAGTATGACTGTTTCAACATTAGAGCAGACAGTATTATTACTTTAGGATGAATTACAACAAATGACTTGAATGGTCTATCATTCTTTTCTTTTTAAAGACTGATTCAATCTCACTTCTCTACTCACCTTTTTTGTTTGTTGTGAAATATTTGGAGTCTGTCATGATTGCTGTACTTTCAGTCTAAAGAGACGAAACAAAGAGAGAAAGTCTTTTTGTAACACTGGCAATACCTGAATATTAAATTTAGGCAAAAGTTTCTCTTCCCTTCCACTTCCTCTGAACCTTTGTGACTCATGTGTGGTCAAACTTGAAAAAAAATTGCATTAACAACTGAGTAGAGTTGTTTAATTTATGTTATTCATCTCTTACATTTGAATGCCTTTTTTATAAACATCTGAACCATACACGTTTAGATTGACAAACTGTTCAATTTAAGCTGTTATAATTTGCAATATCAATTTAAATTTTATTTTATTTTTTCCACATGGCAGAAGAAGAAGGAAATGTGTTTAGAACATTGGCATTTAAACACTAGGCCATACTATTTCACAAAAACCTAGGAGTATGTGTGGTGAATCCTACCCCCTTTGAGCCTAGTTGAGAATACTGCTGGAGTGGTTCGATTGCCAATAGCATTATCTCGGTGTGACATTCTGACCTTCTGACGCTGATCAAAATATCAAATATATGTTCCCAAGTTTGTGTTATTTAGCTGAGGTCCATGTGGCATGACTTTTCTGCACTGAACAAAGCCCCTAATCCACACTAATAACTTAAAGAGATGCAGTCGAACAAAAGTATTCAGATTTGAAAGTGCTGTTTAAAGAAATATTATTGGCATACAGAATGTATGACCACTGGTTTGGAGCAGTAATGCATGTTGTGGATGTGCATGTTCTGGTGTGCTCGTAATACTGGCCATTCAGTTAATATAAACAGTAGTTATTGCATTGACAATTACAATTAATTATCACGAATAATTAATTTTCTTAGAAATGTACCTCCTACAGGACGTTAGAGTGGTCTGAGTTTGAGTCCCACTCAAAGACTTGACATCACTGAATAATGTCAGCAACTGTTAAGGTATACAGCTGTGCAAGACAAGACGTCTTATATTGAAGAAAACGAAGCTAGCGTTGTACATAGTATACGTAATTATGGATCCAGTGCTCAGCGTCTTCGAAGGCATTGCCTTTAATGTTAAACCCATTAAGTCGTAACATTTTCTTTTCAAGGAGCGAAGTCGTCTGAACTCTGTGAATTATCAAGTTAGCTTATATTAAGAGATGCCTCAACAGTTCCTCTTTGCTAACGTTAGCTACAAGCTAACTGCCCGGGTAGCTCCAGCGTGTCTCTGGTGGATAGACATTACATTTAAGGTCAACTAGCAATGTTACCTATGGCTTCAGCAAGCTGATTGCATTTTGGTATGGCACATTCATCAAAGCATTCTGTGAAATATGATAGCAATTGAAAAGCGATAAAGGGCCCAGTCTTCCAAGCAGCTGATAGGAGCTATGCTAATGCAGCTGAAGGCTGCGATGCTCAGCTAATTGACACAGAAACATCGAAAGACACAACAAAACAAATCACAGGATTTTTTAAAACAAAAAGATATCTGATGTACCTAGGTAAGAATATGTCAGCGGGAAAATCCCAATGGTGTTGAGACGCTGGTTGGCCTTTTGCTTGGTTAGAGAAAGATGGAGAACCAGGATAGGGGTGGAGCGTTCAGTGTGATGGGAAATTGGACAACTTTCCTCTCTGGGGTAGGGTGGGGGTGCAAATATTGTTGCCTTCATGGTAATGCCAAATACAAATTCCACTCTTCTTATAGTCAACAGCCATGGTGAAACTTAATAGTTAATTTTGATGGTGGAATATAAACGGGAACGTTTGTGCCGTGGTATGCAAAGCAAACGAATGGAACAAATAGGTTTCTCTACAATGCTGACTTGATGAAACGTTCATTTAACTTTCTCAAAATAAGCACCAAAAATATTTAAGATAGTTGTATCCATCCATGAAATACATTTTACATTTAACAGTTTTCTGACAAAGTTTTGCTCCATAGTTTTATTGAAAAACAACAGCGAAAATCATTATTTTGGACCCAACGTATTTCTGTCTAACAAAATAAAGCAAACAAAAAAGTCGTATAAAACATATGGTATTTTTCAGACCGAATTTTAGTTTATGGATTTGAATGTTGTATGTCCTGTAGTTGATTTATTAATATCGGACTGCGGTTACCTGTACAAAAATCTAACTTGAATATGTATTCACATTAGTAGCCTACCTTCATTGAATCAAATTATTGGAGAGACTAAACGTCATTATTTTCTCTTTTAGCCAATCAAAGTACAGAAGGCGGGTCAATCCACAAGTTAGATTGACCCAGCACTCAGCATGTTAGCTCCGAGGATGTCACGAGTGGACTTCAATGTGGCAGGCTAGGACTACTAGACAAATATTAGTCATTTAATAATATTTTCCCACATCTGCCATGGCGTGACTGAAATTATACCGTAAGTGAAGTAACCATTATTTGTTAATATAGTTGGTTTGCAGTTTGACTGTTACCGTTGATCGCTGGTAATTTTGGTACTCAAGGAAGCACCGATGAACAACGTTTTTCACTCGCACAGTAAAACTTGCATTAAAAGCATAATTGAAGTAACACTTCAACGATATAGTCTTTATTGTCATATATACTCGCTCAAATGCAATAGGATACATTTGACGAATAATTTGTATATCTAACTTAAAAGTATAACTAAATCTTTGTTTTTGGGGAGTTACGGTACCTGTAATTGTCATCACCGTCAACCCGTGTTTTGTACTCGGGTGTTTTTATTTTATTAAAAGGAAGTTGCAATCCTTATGCTTTGTTTGTACATTGGAGAAGAGCACTCGCTCCTTAGTTTAAGTGCTTATCATATTAGGAAGCCCATTGCATTCCTGTGGAGATTTGTACCGTGCTCTGCTTGGCGAACCTTATAAAGTTAAGTTGAAAAGGCAGTCATTCTAAATCCTCCGCAAAAGCTTTGATCTGTCCCGTTTGATTTGTATTTCCAGCTTTGGCTCTGAAAGTAATGGAGCAATCTGAGGAGCACAGACAGTGTGGTAAATGGAGAACTGCCTGTGGATTGTACAACTGCAAGCCGAGGGATGTTTTCACATGGTAAGTAATGTCAGGGCTAGCTTTTATCTTCTAGTTTTAGTCTAAATAGGAGCCCCTTTAAATTAGAGCCATTTTTGCTCTCCAAACCTTAAATCAATTTAAATTTGTGGACATTTTTATATCTTGGTTGCTAATCTACTGTCTAATATCATCCACATTTCCTTAATAAAGTTCAGATTCATTGTCCCTTCAAATAACAACAGATCAATCTCTAAACTGTCACTATAGGTTCTGGATAGGAGGATGTCTGGACACTTGATTACATTTATACAAGGTGATTTGATAGACTAGAGACAGTTGTTGTTAAACAACTGTTGACCTGCTGCTGAGGGTAGATAGATGTGACAGTTTGATTTAGTCTCAAATTGAGGAAAATAACTGGTATTAACCAAATCCTTGTGCATCACTCAGCGCCCTAAATTTAAGTTAAAGACTGTTCTTAGTTAATGACATTCAAATATCTACACTGGCGATAAAAATTAGAGAATTATTTATTTTAAAAAATTATTTTTTCTGAAGGAATGTCATCATCATGTCATGACTTCCTTCTCTGATTCTCTCTTAGCGTCTCTAGTATTCCTTCCCAAATCTCACTGTCGCTGACTTAAATTGCCTTGTGCTTTTTCTGCTATGTGAATCCATAGATTCTGCCCTGTTGTTCTACGGTCACAGTTCAGCAATATTAGATCTGTTTCATAATACTGTGAAAATATATCCCACTGAGCTTACCCCATTCTCACTGCTAAAAACTTTAGTACATTCAATAGTGCTGTACAAATAAACATATGTTATCAGTATCATTACACCAAGTGGTGCAGGCTTTTACTTGACCAGTTCAAACTATGATTGAGAGTCGTGTAAGAAATGGAGTGGTTGTGTAAGTCAGGCTAGAGTATATGAGCTGATGAGAACCTTTTCTGGGGGCTCAGCTCTCCTGTGGAGTTTTTCCCCCATATGACTGGCTATTCTATTGCTCAGGCATCTGCTAAAGACTATAGCCATGGGCCAGCTCCTGTCCCTTTTGATCTGTGGAACTGCCGTGAGCTGTGAGTACCTGGCCAATGTGGAGACCACCATGCTGCAGAGCTTCTTCACTTACGCCCTGCTGCTGCTGACTAACACCACAATCCTTAGTGCACGCAAAGGTCAGAACACCACTGATTAATATAGAGATGCTTTGAACCTGTATGGTAAATAATTAAGGGATTTTTTTTCTCTTGATTTATTTATTTATTTTATTTATTTTTAATATAATAACAAATTATGTCAAATGTGTTCTCAAGGTACTATAAAAATCCAACTTAATTTATTTTTAAGGGAATTTGGTTCCTTCCAGTAATTGTTAATTCAATAAATGATTTCTAAATTGGTCCATTTTATTTTTTTAAAAGTTCAAAAGATGTTTCCTGGTAAAGAAATTAACCTAGTTGATTGCACTGAGACATCTCTTTGATCTAATCCCCCATGCTGAACACACACAAGGTGACAGTGTCAAGAAAAATACTTTATAACAGGAAGAACAGGAGTCAGGGAGGTATTTATCTGCCCCTGCTAGCTTAAAAGTAATATTTTATAAGTTTAAAAACTAAATCACTATAATCACTATTTTGGTCATGGTGACAACCTTTTGTGCAAAATGTGAAAGCACCTATAACAGCCATATTTTTCTTGTTGTCCTTCTATTATAAAAAGATGAAGATTTTTTTTATTTATGTTTATTTTAGATACACAAAAATACTGCCATAGAACACAAATATTCTAAGCTTTGAAATGAGTATAAAGAGTAAAATAAAAGTCTGGATAATAGTAACATTAAAATTCTTATTCATGCTTTCAGTTTTGATTATTTTCAGTGTGAAAAAGAAAACATATGTGAAAACTAGTAAAGGGTTGACTATTTGTCTCTACAGGTGACGATAACCTCCTACAGATTTTAAGACTCAAGTGGTGGAAGTATCTGGTCATGGGTATAGCTGATGTGGAGGCAAACTATGTAGTTGTGAAGGCTTATCAGTTCACCACTCTGACAAGCATTCAGGTATGGGAAGAATGGAGATCTATCAAGGGTGTAATAAATTCAGTCTTTTGTTGTTGCTTTAGATATTGTTTGTCACAATGTTTATATAGCTGAATCTCTGAAAACCACAAAAATATGCTGTGGTATTGTTTTCATTAAGCTGTATAACTTTTTTTTTTCATTCTGGATAGCCTATTTCATGGATAATTTATATTTCAGTTACATTTAGTCTTGCAAAAAAGCAAAAGTAAATCATAATCAAAATATCCACTCAGTTGTTTTTGATCATGAGAAATCATGATTCTATACTTTACTTAACCAGTAAAGTATAGAATGTGATCGGCCAGTAAAGTCATTGGTGTGAACGATGACACGTTACGATTGAGAAGCACAGATTTAGTGTGACCAAACAAAGACTTGTCATTCAACAAAGCTTAGTGCTCCTCATCCCATCAGTTCCAAAAAAATTGTGGCAAAGTGTGGCAGGAAATTAAAAGCAACACAAAAGAGATTGCAGTAATTTCAGAAACAAGAACCAATAATGTCCGATTCTCTGACAAGTACACTTGTTTATTGATGTTAAAAGAATCCATTTGGATGGCCATCTCTCCTGTGTGTTTCTGTGCATTACAGCTGTTGGACTGCTTTGTAATCCCAGTGCTGATGATGCTATCCTGGTTCTTCCTGAAGACGCGGTACAGGATTATCCACTTTATAGCTGTGACAGTGTGCCTGTTTGGGGTGGGGGCCATGGTTGGAGCTGACATACAGGCCGGAAGAGATACGGGTTCGAGTAAGGACCATTTATATCTTTTCTTTTACAGAATTTAGAGCAACCCTTTATTTAAAATGGCCTTTATGTTACACTTACTGTAGTGGCTAAATGTCCTTTCTTGGCTGGTGACCATTTCTTCTCTTTGACGAATGCAAATAACCACTCTTTCAGACGGGAAGAACGAGTCTACGCGTGTTAAAGTTTTAACGACATTAGAAAACGGTGTATTCACCCCGTCTTTACTGAACATTCTAAAACAGAAAATAAACGTCAGTTTACATTCAACAAAAGCTCGAGCTCCGAGTGTTATCGCTCAGCGTGAGTTTCTATTGGCTATTTAGTGAAGATCATTTTAAACATTAAAATAAATGCAGATTAAACTAAATTCAATTATAAATTAGCAAAGCAATAACTTAGTAAACTGCAATCATAAATATTCTATGAAAACATAGAACCAAAATCATCCAAAAATAATAACTAAACATGAGCATAAATTACTCAGTAGAAAATGGCACCAACACTTACGTTTATCATACAGACACAGGTTACACATCCATGGGTCCTCCGTTGGTGGAATGATTTACCAAGTGCTAACAAAGAAATGATCCCTCTGTCTGACTTTGAATAAGCTTGTAAAAACATTTCTTATGTATCTGTGGAATTCGGGTTTTTATCAAATCTCTTTCTTTGTGAAGCCAGGGATGTGCTGCTTGGCGATGGATTGGTTCTGCTCAGTGCTGTCCTCTATGCAGTATCCAACATATGCCAGGAGCACACGGTGAAGAAGCTGAGCAGAGTCGAGTTTCTTGGCATGATGGGCCTCTTTGGAACTCTCATTAGTGGTATACAGCTGTAAGTAATAGTTGATATTTATTTTATAATCTGGTAATCCTGGGCATCTCTCCAATGTATAAACTACATAAGGAACTCGGTAACATGTATTTCACAAAAAAGCTTTCAATTAACACTGAAAATCTTCAGCTGAACTTTAAACTCAGGTATGTATTTAAAATGAATTCCTGTGTTTCAAAGAATGTAGGAAAGAGTGTACTATGTTTTTTTTCAAAGCATTTTTATTATTAACTCGTCTTTATATATGCACCCTCTATTTTTTTGTCACATTTTAATGATAGTGGGACACTCTTACCAGTAATAACATTCTGGTGCTCAGAGTTCTCCAAATTTTGCAAGAAAAAATAAAGAAAAATTCACCCTTAGGTTACACTTAAAAAATCATAAAGTGGATTTATTTTCTTCTAGTACTCCACTTTCTTCCTGACGTTTTCAAACATGCATGGCAAATTAGTTGGTGATTGTTAATAAACAAGGATGTTGGTACCAGGATCTAGTCAAAAGTTTTAGTCAAGATAAAATGATAGATTCTTCAGTCCTGGTCACACATATAAACAACACAATTGTGACATTTTAAATTTTGGGAAAGATTGTTCAGTTTATGGTTATCAAAAGATGCATCCTTATGGAATGAGATAACATATGGGACCTAATTTTTCATTGTACTGCTTCTGTTCAGTTCATTTGTATACTTACCAATTTAACAAACCAAAGCTTTTAGTGTACAAGTTTTTATTTAAATTAGTCTGTCAGTTATTGAAACTCAAGTCTTTTATGTTTTTCTTTTTTACAGAGCTGTTTTGGAAGCAAATGCAATAGCTGCAATAAAATGGGATTTTCACATATGTAAGTCACCAGGGTTCTCACAGCTTTAGAATTAAAACTAGAATGTTCTCTCCCTTGACTTCCATCATTTTTGCTCTGCAGCCATGCTGTTTGCAGTCTACACCTTGTGTATGTACGCACTTTACAGCTTCATGCCAGTGGTCGTGAAGATGACCAGTGCCACTGCGGTCAACCTCTCTCTGCTCACAGCAGATCTCTTCAGCCTATTCTGTGGCCTCTTTCTTTTCCACTACAAGGTGGGTAGAGTATTTGTTGTCCCAAAATTGTGTGAACAGCACCTACCTCAGAAGCATTCATTAACAGTCTTTCAGTTAGTTTGTACAAGGTTTTAAATAAAAGCTTGGTGCAGTTCATACCTCATTTTTAAGCATTTTGACATGGTGTGTAGTACTAAATCCTTCAGTTTCAGCCATTTAAAAGCATAAGGTTTTTTTAATAGGATATGAGTAATTTTTGTTTGTTTGTTTGTTTGTTTGTTTGTTTGTTTGTTTGTTGTTCAAGCAGTGCCCAGCAAAATAGTATTGCACTGGCAGTTGGTGCAGAGCTGGTCTTGTATCAGAACTTTTTATGCCTGAAACATAAAAATGACAATTTGTGCCTCGCATTTAAGATGCTGCTTTGTATGTGATTCAAATGTTTTATCATGCATTTTGTATTTTGTGCTGTAGAAAATATACAGATAAAGGTTTCTTTAGGCATGTGACTAACATCTCTGTCCTGTTTCATCCTCAGTTCTCAGCTCTGTACATCCTCTCCTTTGTTGTCATCATTGTGGGTTTTGTAATGTTTAATGCCATCCCAACATACTCGGCTTTACCTGGCGACTATGCTGAGGAGAATGATGACCACGGGACTGAGAGCTTCTCAGACCGAAGGCTGGGCGCACACAGAGAGACTCAGAGACCTGAGGCAGGCACAGCAGTCTCTGCACTATGACCAAAGAGTGATTTTTTTAACCCCCCCCCCCAATATTGTCAGTTTTTCAGTTGTACTGTTACAGTAGCATTCTCACTGCAAGATTGTTGTTCTATTTGTAAGTTCAATTTTTTTTTACTGTCATGACGTTGGTAACTGGGATGTCAGCTTTTTATTAAATGATTGATTATTGTTCTAAGCTGCTCAACCCTCTCTACCCTCCTTTTTCCTAAAAAAAACAAACAATTTGATTAAATGTTTTACACTGAAAATGAAGCATGCAACTGTGCAGTAGGAGTTAAACTTTTTTACTAATACATTTTGTGTATTCTCTGTGACCTGTGTAATTTCTGATTTCCTCAACTCAGTATGTATGTAGTAGACCCATTTGCATAGAGCTAATAGCCTCATACCTTATTATTAAGTCTGTTGAGGAAACCTCTAAATCATAGAACTTTAAATCCTTAATGTTAAATCCTCCTCTAGCAACTCACTCAAGGTAAAGTAACTGTGGAACTGGTGTTGTAGTTTAATGTTAAACCCTCTTTTTGTAAGTCGCTTCAGATAAAAAGGTCTGCTAAATGTGAATCTTTCTTAGCCACTGTAGAAACAAGATGCCTTATGATTTAAAGCATGGGCAGTTAGTAAAGATCACACTTCACTTCACTTAAACCATTATTATCAATATAGTCCTACTCCATGCATTTATAAGACAGTTCAATATTCTGTTACATACTAACTTTGAAACAATTAGTTCAGTACAAATTAATTCAATTCTTCCGACAGTTACAGTTTTATGTTTTATACCTTTTCTCTACAACCATGTATTTAAGCAACAAAATAATTGTTCTTTGTTTTGTTCTGAAGTTGTGGGCAGTAGCACCACGAAGCAAATGTCTTTGATTCCATCAATTGTTAAGTCAGAAATCAAGACATCCCAGCCCGAGGATGCTACAGGGCAGTTTCAGGCCAGCGAATGTGCACAGCAAAAGCCACTGTGTTTAAAGATGTTTTAGTCTTTAAATTGTCATAACTCCATCCTTGATGAGAGCCACCACATTTTTAATCATAGGATGTTAAACACATTACAGCTGTACGATCAACAATTGAAATTGAAAACAAAGCCATTAAAATGGAGGCAGACAGCATTAGGCTTTACTTCTCTGGCACGTTTGCACATTTTTGTGTTGCGTTTAAAAAAATATATATATTCCAAGAGATAACTCAAATTATCTGGTCTGGTTCTGGCAATGGTTTCCCCAGGTCCTTCTTACACATCCTTGTCAGAGGATTACATCGAAGTGATGTGATACAGCATACTATTTCTCAGACTTCAAATAAAATGTTTCAGACCAGTTTGGAATTAATTGAAATGTATCAAATGATGATTGTGTCCCACTGAATAAAAATTGACTATATCTTTGAAATTACATGAGAGAAAACATACAAATAAACAAACACCCACAGAGACTTGCATTTACTCTTAGGGGCAATTTAATGTGCAATTCACCTAGCGGGGAAGCTGGAGGACCAGGAGGAAACCTACACATACACAGCGATAACATACAAACTCCACGAAGAAGGCCCCTGGTCCTCCAGGGACCGTTTTGCTCTGACACAATAGTGCTTAACACCAGCAACCAGTGTGCTGCCTGCAATGTCATATTGCCATTAAATAAACTTTTACATGGTACATGTTGAGATTGTCAGACACAACAAAATATATTTTGTGCTTTGAGATCAAAGCTAGAATAACCAATTATCAAAATAAGTCATGAAAGGGTTTGTAGTTCATAAGCTAAGTAAGTGCATAATCGGTAACTTTTTCTACAGAACTGAGATTGTGTTAGCTGTGAGTGGTAGAGGTTTAATAAGAAAAGTCAGATGTTACTAACATAAAACTATGTTAGTAAAACAGATTTATTAGCAAAAAGAGGCCAAACTCAAATTTTGTCTATTGAGCATTAAAAAAAAAGCCTAAATGAATGAATGAATGAATTATTATTGAGTTGTCTCTTTTTTTGATGAGGTGACTCTTGAATAATATCCAATGGAATTAACCATTTTACATGTTTAGCTTTGGAAAATGCAGTTTACACGTCTGTTTCACAGGACAGCGTCCTTGTGGCTTCCTGCGTGCTGCACTAAGACGATGCGCTGTAGCTTTTAGAGCTGAGCTTCAGTCATTTGGTGTAATCATGGAGACGACGGGAACCGAGTAGCAAAACGACTGGAGCCGAGTGAAAAAACGTTGCAGCCCCATTACACACCCTCCTCTTCGCCTCTTGCTTACCGAAAGCGGTACGAATTTTGTTTCCTGATTTCATAGCATGTAAATTGTATTGCTATATCCGAAGTTTGATCACCATTGTCTGCTGTTACTACGGATAAGTCACATCGCATCTGTGCATTGGCTCGTCAGTGTGGAGAAGTAATGGCATGGTTTTACGGTATTATCTCACTATGATGGGTAAAACAAGAGTCCATAGATTTTGTGAATAGTTCGTGCGGGTATTTCTGTTTTATCTAGCGAATATTAAGCTAGTCAGAAACGCTGCGAAACGTTAGGCTATCGGCTGCGGGAAGCTGCGCATTTACATGTGGGTTCATTGGTCATCACCACGGACAGCTCCTGAGAAAAACAGACATCTCCTTCGTCCTCAGGCCGTCAACCGACCGAACCACCGCTGTACACATCACAGAGCCGACTGCAGCCAAGATGAAGCACTTCCTGAGGTAACGTGTTTAAATGGATGCAGAGCTACATTTACATCTCATTATGAAATGTGAAGCAATTCATTGTTAATTCACAACACGCACCTCCCCCTCTTTTCAACCCTGTGTCACTCCATTAGTTTACAAGTAGCTTATTCCCAGCTCTCCCATTAAAGCTCTACGTTAAATGGTAGAAGCTCCATAGTTATGTAGACAGCAATGGATGCTTGTGGGAGTATTGTTTTGAGTTGGTCAGGCAGTTGGAGGCCTCCCAAGCAAACCAAGAGCTCTCTAGAATTGTTTCTATTAATAGATTTTCTCCTTGGAAAAAATATGGAAAGAAGGTGAAATTAAAGTCCTCCTTTACTGATTTACTGATCAAATCTGGTCTAGCTCATACTTAGTAAAGATTATTATAAAGGCAATTTAGTGGATTTTATTTCCTTTTGGCATATAAACCACCCTTTTTAGCATCGGGCTGAACATTTCCAGGACAAAGTAAAGTAGCACAGTGTGCCTAATGGAAAGGCCTGTGCATATACACATACACATGAGAAACATGATGACTATCAAATATGAGAGCAGGAGAGGACAACCAAATTCTATAATATTGGCACATGTCAATACTTATGAATATATTAACGTCTTTACCGATACAACACAGTTTAACAAAAGTTATACAAATGCTCTGGAAAAAATAAAAAAGATGACAAAAACTGACAAAAGAAGGAAATTAAATGTAAATTAATCAAATAACCAAGCAATGAAAAATTCATGATAAACTCTTCAGTATTTTCCTTTCAATTTTAGAAGCAAAAAGGGGGATATTGGTTTTGCAAGCAAAGACAAATTGCAAACTGTGTTTAAGAGCACTTTATATGCAATCCTTTTCTGATTTGACTTACCTAAGCAAGGTTTTATCAGGTAGCCCAATGTGACAAAAAAGTAAAACAGGATAAATCATCCATGTTTAAAACCAAACCCCTTCAAGAGTAGAAATGTTTGTTATTAAATTGCTAACCTGACATGTGTTGTTGGCTTAAATAGAGCACTTTAGCTAAACCAGCAGCTGTATTTTTTTTAAATAGATATTTGATCCTGTATACTAAGAATCGACCCATATCTGTCTAATTTATTACCACATTCACCATATACCCCTTCATTATGAATTTGTCCCTTCTTGTTTTTTCATACAGGAAAAAAAGCCTATTATTTTCCTTCGCCTTGTTACACTCTCCAGTCCAGTGAATTATGTATTTGGAGGAAACAAGGAGTGGTCAATATCAAATGAGAATATTTTAAAGGTGTTCAGTTTACTGCATCTGTTATAGGTAAAGTTTAAACTGTCATTATAGAGAGAAAAGATCATTGCATAAAAGGTTTTAGACTCCAGCACTGAACCAGATGAACACTTTAGCTAACAGACTGTCTTAATAGGTCACAACACAATTTCCAAGACATCTACATTCTCATCCTGCGCATCTCTGCAACAAGGCAGAACTGCTATAGCCAATGTAATGCTCAATGATCTGGTTTTACCTTTAAAAGTTTTCTTTTCTCTGTTTTTTATTCTTTTATTTTGGTTCATGAAACCCAAAATCCAACTTTTACACCCTTTCCAGCATTAAATGGAACCAATACATATTTAATGAAATATGTATTCGGAGTTATCAGACATTACAATGAATTCCTCATTTAATTTCTTTCAGTAAACTTATTCTAACAGCTTTTCACTTTAAATGAGCAAATCTAGCACCAACATCTTGCACAAACTGGAGTAAAATTACTTATTTTTCTTTAAAAGGACACATGACAAAAATTGGGATACTACTATTAGGTCATACTATGACACAAATATAATGTCTGTGTGCCTAATTATGTTCTTTTCCTCTCTAGAGTGGTGACACAGTTCTTTGTGTTCCTTTACTGTCAATGTCTGTGGCGGAGCTTGAAATGGGTGGTTAGGAAGTTCACAGGGCGCTGTGAGCTGCAGCGAATCTGCTACAATAACAAACAGGGAGCTTGCAGGACCCTAAAGATAGGTATGCTGTACTAAACTAATAATGTTGTATATATATATATAAATATATAGATATATATAAACACATGTATATACATTTAGTTATGTTTTTTAAGCTGTTTGTCATTATTACACACTTTTTCCCCCTTTATATTTTAGAATCGTCTCTGCGGTACTCCAAGAATGAGGTCCTAATGTGGTCACAAAATCTATTTTTTTGTCAGATATACATTACATTTAACATATTTCATGTGTATGGAGCTGCAGTCTCTTCACCTGTGTCCTGCTTTGTTCTTTTCTGTGTCCTTTTCTCCCCTTTAGCTGTTGCAGTCCTCCCTTAACGTCTACCCTGACAAAGTGGAGAAGACCATCAATGAAATCATGGCGATGAAGAAAATTAACCCTGACACCAACCCACAGTGAGAAACAACACTTTTACATATATTATAATTTTTTATTTTGGTCCTCCACTATTCCGTTTGAACTTGTGATTAGGGAGTTTAGTAAAGCTTATAAAGATGATTCATGGGACAGCTTACTTTGCTAATAGATTTGCACTTCCTCTGACAAAATACACTTGCTGTCCCTGTGTGTCAACAGGCTGGGCATCTCTCTGCAGGCCAGCCTGCTACAGATTGTGGGCTACAGGAGTCTGGTGGTAGAGGTAGAGAAGCTGCGCAAGGAGCCATATGACTGTGAAAACCCTGAGCATGAGGACATGCTGATGAAGGTATGCAGCTCTCAATCTAGAAGCATTGTACACAAAATGATATGCACAATACAAAACCTTTTCATCACTTATCTACACATTCACACAGTGAACTGTGTTATGTCTTCGTATGTTGTAGCTATGGAAGGTGCTTCGCCCTGACACACCCCTCACCAGACGGATCTCTAAACAGTGGTGTGAGATTGGTTTCCAAGGCAGCGATCCTAAGACCGATTTTAGAGGCATGGGTTTGTTGGGCCTGCACAACCTGCTGTAAGCTATCTTGTCCAGAAAATGGTATATATATGATATATAATTACAGTCCACTGTTTTACTTTTAACGCTACAGCATATCAGTTGTAGCGTTCACACTTTTACGTAACATTACTAAAGCTACTCCCCTGTTCAGCCCAAGTTGTGTAGTAAGCAGAAGTGTGGACCCTCAGAATTCTGGTTGAGGAGCAGATGAGAAGGAAGTTATTTTTCTGTTTCGGGGAAGAATAAACGAACGCTCCACAGCACCTATGCAGGAAAGAGAAGTAGCTGTATTGAGAGGCTTATCATTGCACTGCAGGACTGAAAGGTTCAGGAGGTCCTTTCTTTTCTGCAGCCGTATGCGCTTTATCTCTGACTAACAGTTCTTTTGTGAAGATTTTTACATTCTGTTATTATCTTTTTTTTTTTTTTTTAAATATATTATTAAGTAAACCTTGAGAAAAGGGGGTACCTGATCTTAGTTTTTTTTATTTAATGGCCAATGATTTTGGAGTTATTGTCTTTACTGTGAATTCTCTTTACACTTGTCCGTAAGGCAGAAGAGATAAGGGACCTCACTTTGGTTGACACAAAACCACTCAGCAGGTGGGGTTGTTGGTTAGCAGCCCAAAGTGGGTACACTCGGGAACTTGGCGGTCAGGTGGAGCCATTGAGGTTTCGGACAGCCTGCACTGTGGTGGTTATCCTCCTCCATAGGGCTTCTTGATTCCCAATAAACAGAGGTCTTGATGTTGAGACTAATCCCACAAAAATAGAATAAACCAAAAAAGGATTTGGGCCAACTGAAGGGTGAAAGAAAAAAAATAAAGGAAACCGTCTACCTTTCAGTTTTTTTCATCCTCTTTCTTTATTTCTTACAAGTCCTAAAAAAATGGGAGAGAGAGAGAGAGAGCTTTTCCTCTTACTCCTTTTTTCACAGGTACTTTGCTGAACATGACAAGACTTCAGCTCTGCAGATGCTTCAGGACTCTTTGCAACCAAAGCACAAGTAGGTTTAGATCACCTTTGCAAGCAAATATTTAGTGTTTTACCCAAGTGCTTTGGTAGAATGTTCCTGACTGATATATTCAGAATGTATTTCATTAGTTGGTGCATCACTATTCCATAGGCTGTAAAATGAGTAAGATTCACCACATAAGCACAAAACAAAGACCTGTCTTTCCATTTGATAAGAGCTGTGCTTCATTTTTATGAAGACAAGTGGCATCTACGTAACAGGGTATATGGGGTATATTTTACTCTTGATGTTTAGATTGACTGACAAATGGCTGCACATTACTAATGTTTGTGATATAGTTAAACGCACACATTTTAAAAAATGAACAGTAATGTTAAACACAAATATTAAACAAATGCCATCTTTATTTAGGTAAGTGCTGATGTGATAAGGATCTTACAATGCAAAGTCTCTTTTTGTGTCTGGTTATGTTTCAAGGTAAATATAGTCGTTATTTAATCATTTTCAATAATAGACTCATCGGTTTCAGATGGATTTTTATTCATTTGACAAAAGAAATAGAACATATATAAATTTAAGATGCTTTGTTGTGTTTTTTTATGTCCTTTATCAGCTAATATTAGTCAAGTTGAAAATCTTACATGCCTAAGTGACAGCTAAAATACCGTCTACATCTACCATGAATTAGGTATATCGCCTTTGATTTTAAATTGCACATACTCTTCCATAACTCCGTGTCTACCTCTCTCTGCTTGATCACCTTACAGTGTGATGTCGCTCACAGATTCTTTTTTTGACTACTCCTGTTTGCATTATCATCGTCACAGTTTCATTGCTTAATGTAAGAGATTGTTCTTATTTTTTTCCACCTCCATTTATGCACATCCCCCCTCTCTCTGTCTGTGTCATGCACTGTAGGACCACAAACAGACAGCCAAGGTACCCAGCTTCACTTTCATTCACTTCCTATATTCAATGTGACATGCATAGCTTTATCTTTTTGGTTTGATGCATTTAGATCACACCAAATGTCATCTATTGTAATTAAGTACAGAGACCTCATTTTATAATGGAGAGTTCCACAATTGTTGGAAAATGCTGCTGTTTGTAGATAGATATAGATAGATAGAT